CCGCAGTGTGGCCACTCTGACCCAGGCAGATCTGTTTAGGCCTGGTGCTTGGAAGGCTGTGGAAGGTGCATTCGGGCAAAGGCACTTCTGCAGCGGAAGGCTTCGGTTTTCACGCCTGGGCTGCCAGCAAAAGGGCAAAGGTGTCCGGGGACTTCTGAACCAAGAGACCAGAGTCAGTTGTAGGAAAACCTACCTGGCACAGAAGGACAGCAAGGCCCAGGCTCATGGACTCCGAATTCTGGGGAGGGTGGGCTTGGAGGCGGGGAGGCAGCTCCGCGGGGCATGAGGCCACTGAATTCACCCTCCAGAGCAGCCCTTTTCTCCAGAGGAATGACCTGGATCTTCTGGAGATCAATTTTTATTTATTTATTTATTTATTTTATTTCATTTCATTTATACCCTGCCCTCCCCGCACGCAGGCTCAGGGCGGCTTACAAAACACAGAGGTGTAATACAACACCACAATTTAAAACAATTAAGGCACACAGTGCAATAAAAATACAGTTAAAACAGTTTATACACCGTGGACAAACTCCCAGGATCCATCGCGACTAGTATGCTCACTCTTTATTATACATCACATTGGGGTCGATGAGAGGGGTACCGTAGGCCACGATGTTCGGTGGCCAGTTAGCCCAACCTGGCGGTACTGCTCTGCAATCGCCTGTTGGTGGTAGTGGCGGCGGCGGCTCCTATTCAAAAGCCTGGCGGAAGAGCTCTGTCTTACAGGTCCTGCGGAACTGTAACAGGTCCCGCAGGGCTCTGATCTCCTCCGGGAGCTCATTCCACCAGATAGGAGCTGCCACCGAAAAGGACCTGGCCTTTGTGGCAGGAGGCTGGCCTCCTTAGGGCCCGTGGTCACTAGGCAGTGTTGTGACCCCGACCGAAGTGCTCTTTAGGGCCTGTATGGGGAAAGGTGGTCCCTCAGGTATGCCGGTCCCTGGCCATGTAGGGCTTTTACAGTGTGTGGGGGGGTGGAGGTGGTCTCCAGACCTTCCCTGGGGGATGGGCTCCAGGGCCTTCCCCTCCTAGAACTCCAGCCCCAGATCTCCAGGAACTTCCCAAGCCAGAGTCGGCAGCCCTCCAGACAGTCTGAGGAGGAGACGGGGATGGGAGGTGACCGAGGCTCTCTACGGACTCGAGGGGAGAAGATGCAGCCCGGGAGAACGGGAGAGCGTGTGGAGTGGCCAGGAAAGTGCCATCGTGTCCGCCTGGCAGCCAACCCTGCCCTCGACGCTGGCTTTGGTGCGTCCCCCGCATGACGGAACACTCATCTCTCACACTCGCCGAGCGGAAGCACAACCAATCAATGGGATCGGAGTGTAAATGGCTCAATCAGTACAGGGAACAGTCCCTGCGAGATACATATAGGCTGCTATCCTTTCTTTGGTGAACGACACCTGAATGTCACAATGATCATGAACCCAGAAAAATAGCCATAACAACCCTCCAAAGACTCTTATATCACCATTTGCAACAGGGCTCATCCTTATCTCATTAGAAAACAACATAAAAGAAGATGAGTAACTCGTTGTAGACCCGTCCAGGTGGTCAGCCAGCCGTGTTGGTCCGAAGCAGTAGAACAAATTCAGAGTCCTGTCCGGCACCTTGAAGACCAACCAAGGTTTATTCAAGGGATGAGCTTCCGTGTGCAAGGTACACTTTTTCAAACACCGTGGAAGGGGAGGTAAGGTTCAAATTCATGGGTTTGTTCTTTAATTCTGTATTTGCATCGCTTAAAACATCTTCGCCGTGTTACATGTTAATCTGCTGTTCAGCCCGTCTATAAGTCTGAACCTTCCCTCCCATTCCACTCCGTCTGGAAAAGTGTTCCTTGCACACGAAATAAACCTTGGTTGGTCTTCAGGGTGCCTGACGGGACTCTAAAAGTGTTCTAGCTGTAGACCCGTTTCGTGTTACATCCTCTTCAGGAGTTTCCGTTCTTCATGCGTCGTCTTCCTCTGGTCGCTCTGTGGTTCTCTTCCTCACAGGTGCCTGACTGGAGTCAAGATTTGTTCAACTGAAGCGGCTGTGAGGCGATGCGCAAGTAGCCGAGACCAGCGGTCCCTCGCGGTGAACTGGAGGTCTTCAAAGCACAACCCCCACCCACCCACAATGTCCACGGTTCCCAAATTTCCCTGAGGCGACTGCTGGCACGTGGCACGTGGGGGACACCATGGCACGTGGGTGGGGGGCTTTCTCTCTCCTTCTCTCCTGCAGGCAGCCTCCGGCTCCGAGGGCCGAGGAGGAGCCGGGGAGGCAGCAAAGGCAAGGGAAGGCAGCGGGGCGCGGAAGGGTCCAGCCACGAAGGAGGCACTGAGGAAGGGGAGGGGGCAAGGCGAGGGGGCGAGACCAAGGCCGAGGTGCCCTTCTGTGAGGGGGATTCTTTCTTCCCCATTGTTTCCTATTAGGCGGGAAGACGAGTAGGGACCCGCCCGGGGCAAGTAGGGACCCGCCCGCCGCCAGCCCGGGAGCCCCCCTCGCCCTCTGTCCGGCTTGATGGGAGGCTTGGCCTGTCCCGCGCTGCCCGGGTGGGCTGAGGGGATGCCCGCGGGCTCTCCCTCCAAGGCTGCCCCAGTGTGGTGGCCCATGTACGAGTCCCGCGCTGGCACCCCGTGGAGGAAGTGGGGCCACGCTGGCACCACGCCTCGTAGGGCTGCCAACCTCCACGTGGCTCCTCTTATTAGGGTGGACTCCTTGGCATTACACCCTGCCAAGGTGATCCAGCCAGCTCCTTTCCCGGCCCTGCAGCCTAAGGTTGCCAACCTCCCAGTGGGATCTCCTGGAATTTGATCTTCTGGAGAGAACGGCTGCTTTGGAGGTTGGCCTCTATATGGCATCGTACCCCACTGAGGTCCCGCCCCTCCCCAAGCCCCGCCCTCCCCAGCCTTCACCTCCAAATCTCCAGGAATTTCCCAACCCAGAACTGGCAACCTTGAATTCTGGAGGCGCCACCAGAACAGTGACAAGGGGGTGGCTCCTGTGACCTTGGGCCGTGCCTGCCTTGGCCCCGGTCTCTAGGCTGGGCCAGTCCTTTCGCACCCTCCCATCCACTTGCTGACTCTCTCAACCTAATTTCTCACCTCCTCTGCCTGTACCTTGGCTCCTCCATCCAGTCTTGGAGCAGAACCCGTGTTTCATTTCCACATCCCAAAAAACCATTCTCCGCTCCAGTTGCAACGTCCCCTCGCCCAGCCTCTGCAGGTCCCCCCACTTAAATGGTGCTTCATTTCCCTCCCCCCAAATCTCTTCCAAACTTCCTTTGTTTTTGAGACCCAAGGATGGTTCTCGTCTCCTGGCTTTCTGCAAACTGTGCAGAACTGAAGAAGTGTGCATGCACACAATTAAATACTGGGTTCAAGACGCATTGCCGTGAACAGCTCTACTTTATTCTGGGCGATTTCGCACTAGAGCTGCCTCGCGGCGCAGCCGCCGTTTGCCCCGACACAAACATGTCAATTTCACACCCGGAGCTGCGGGGCTGCATTTTGACTCGCGGCTTCGCCCGATTTCCTCCGCAGTTTCGTGATCCTCAAAAACCAGGATCACGAAACTGCGGAGGAAATCGGGCGAAGCCGCGAGTCAAAATGCAGCCCCGCAGCTCCGGGTGTGAAATTGACATGTTTGTGTCGGGGCAAACGGCGGGTGCGCCACGAGGCAGCTCTCGAGCAAAATCGCCAGGCAACAGCCCTGTTTAAATAGCATGCACAAACCACACCCAAACGCACCCAACTCCCAACGATAGGCTATTTACATAACATTACATCCTCACTGGTTGCCTCTAGAATCCTGAATCATCTAGAATATTGTTCAAGGGCTCCAAGCTCAGCCCGTCTCTGATGGGCAGTCCTGGGATGTTCCAGCCCCAATCTGTAACACACACACGGAAGCTGAGACCCGGAATAAAACTCGGTCGGTCTCAAAGGTGCCGTTGGACTCAAACTTTTTTGCTCTGCTGCTTCAAACCACCACGGCTATCCACCTGAATCTATGCAAAGCGGAATTATTTGAGAGGGCTTTTCTACGCAGGAATTAGAGTTGTACAATATACTTGAGGACTCACAAAGTTACTTAGATACGTTATTGGGGACTGTGGCCTATGCTGCTGTGTTGAGCTTACTGAAACGAGGATCCTATTGTGTGATTTTTGTGCCCTGCTGACATTTGTGCTGATGCTGTGCTTCGGGTCTGTTTTTAGATTTCTTGCTCTCCGTGTATGTGCGTGTGCGCCTGGAAGTCCTGGTCGACTTCTGGCGACCCCTAGCGGGGCTTGGGTGTTTTAGAGAGCTGGTTTGCCATGGCCTGCCTCTGTGCCCCCCGGGGGGCCCTGATATTCCTTGGAGGTCCCCCTTTCAAGTACTTGCCAGGGCCGGCCCTGCTTAGCTTCCGAGATCTGATGAGATCGGACTTCTCTGCGCTATCCAGGTCAGGGCCTGTTTTTTTAGACTTCTAATTGGTTCCGCAACCCAAATCGTACTGCATTGTTTACTAAGTGTCCCCGCCTGTCTGTGTAATCCACCTTGACTCCAAGTGAGAAAGGAGGACTGTAATACGGGAGATACATTAATAAAAATTTCTTGTCTTCTCGTTTGGACGCCTGCCCTGGGTGGCCCAGGTGACCCTCATCTCATCAGCTCTGGGAAGCTAAGCAGGGTCAGCCCTGGTTCGTATTCGGATGAGAGACCACCGAGGGAGTCTGAGGGTGCCACGCAGAGGCGGGCAAAGGCAAGGCACCTCTGTTCCTCTCTCGTGGGGGGAAAGCCCCACAGGGTGGCCAGAAGTCGGTGGCGACCTGCTGGCACGTCCCACCACCATGGACGCACAATCACTACGTAAACATCATCACCGTATTCCCAGAACACATCCCAATCCTCTCGAACCACAACAGAACTTTATTAGGTCCTTATGTCCAGGAGAGAGAACACGTGGCGGCACACGTGGACGAAGGGGCCTCCTTCTGCCTGGGCTCCTCTCTCTCTCCCCCCGAGACTCTTCCCTTTTCAGCAACTCTCCGGCTTCTTCGCTTCCTTCTCTGCCTCCAGCAGGAAGCCAATGGCCCTCAGCTCCTGCTGCAAGGCATCCATCTGAGCCAGGGCCTTGTGGATCGCCCCTTTGGTGGCATTGTGCTGCTCCTGCAGCTTGTTGTTCTCCTCCCAGAGTATTTTGTTCTCTCCCTGGAGTGTTTGGAAGGTTTCTTTTTCTTCCATTAGTGCCTGGTTCAGGGACAGCAGAACTTGTTTCAGCTTCTGGACAGTCAGGAAGGCCTCGTTCTCCTCTAGCAGGGACATGGGGATTTTGCTTTTCTCCAGGACCGGCAAAGTCCTGCTCTCCTCCTGCATTTCTGAGAGGGCTTTGACTGCCTCCGGCAGGGTAGCTTTGGTGCTGTTTCCTTGGGCTGTCACAGCCTTGCTAGTTTCGGGGACTGCCGGCTCTTCCTTCCCTAGTAACTGGGCAGTGAGTTTTTCCTTCTGGAGAACTGGGACTAGAACAGCTTTCTTCTTCTCAGGGAAGACCTTGTCCGGGAAGATCTTGAAAGCGACATTGTTCTCCTGAAAGACCTGGAGGGCTTTGTTCTCTTCTCGGAGAACTTGAAGGGCTTTGTTTTCTATACCGTTCGGGAGCCCTAAGTGTGGAAGGCTTTCCAAAGTCTTCTTGTCTTGCTGGAGCACCTGCTGGAGACTCTCGTCGTAGATGACCTGAATCCCCTTGTTCTCCATCCGCAAGCACTGCAGGGCCTTGTTCTCTTCCCGGAGGGCCCGGTTCTCCATCCGCAGGGCCTTATTCTCTTCCCAAAGGGCCTTGTTCTCCTCCCAGAGAGTCCAGTCACTACGGATCTTCCTGCCAGTGTGTTTCTGGAGACTCTCCGGAGAGGAAGCGAACGCTGATTGGATGTAGCTTTCGTTCACCCACTTGCCGTCGAGGAAGACAAAGGTGTCGTCGCTCAACTTGACCCGCGGCGGGATATAATCCATCTTCACTTTCAAGCAGCTTTCTGGGAAAAGATCAAAACCAGATTGGGGGGGTCTGCGTTATTGCATGAACTAAAAAGGTTCCCGTCACAGTATTTTCTTTGGGAAGCCTGCAAGAAATACTGTTCATGGCATGACACTGGACTAGAACCACAGACCAGGAACAAAACACATCAAATTAGCTTCAAACAAGAAACAACTTGCACTTCAGGGAAAAGATCACTTAAATTAAGCAAGGAAACAAAATACTAAAACCTATTCCTGAACTAGTGCAAGAAGCGTGCTTTCCATATCCTTTGCCAACTACTGAGCACAGCATTTCAGCAAATGTAAATTGATATCTTCTTCTCTAGGGTTGTCTCCAATGTTCCCTCTAAGCTGTGGAGTCTTGTGAGCAAGAATTCTGCTTTGTGAGTTACTGGCATTAAAGTTGTGAGCAGGTAATTTGGCTCCTGCATAAATTACTTTGCTCTGGAGCCATCCTTCCTGAGCTGAGACAAAAATGTGTGAGCCAGAGACTAAAAAAACTGTGAGCTGGCTCACACTAACTCAGCTTAGAGAGAACACTGGTTGTCTCTGGCCCTTATGAAACCATGTTAAGTCGGCTGAGGTTATGAAACGCTGTACTGGAAAGGTCTTGACGATAATGTGTTTCAGCATTCCAAGTTCATTTGGGTGCGGGAGCGCTTAATAACAGCCGGTCCGTGTTCTCTGTCTGTGTAATTTTTATTTCCAGTATCTCTGATTTCATCTACATCCCTCTTGCCCCGGGGGTGTATGGTGTATGGCTTGCAATTGCATGTGGGTCACCAAACCCACCACCCCCTATAGATGGGTGGTGCCAAGCCTCCCCCCTCCCCCGCAGTATGGTCACTTAGCAGGCATCGCTGGACTTCAATGCCCCCCCCGGTGGGCTGCAGCTCTGAGAAGGGTCCAGCTCAACCCTGCCTGGGCCAGTGGGTGCCAGCGAAGCAGTACCACGAGAGACAGGTGGAATCTCTTAGGCAAGCTGCCAAGAGGTGCAAACACCTGGGACACCTTCCTGTAAAACCCAAACCACAAAGCGGGGAGCCGGATTGCAAACAGTGGAGGCTGAGTGGAGGTTGAACCATCTACAGATGGTGAACTTCCATCGCTGTTGGCGCTCTAAATGCATAGACATACGAGAGGTTGCTGCAAAAGTTCAAACACTCAACAAAACATAGCAAACTTGTCAAAGCACAATATCACTAATCAATAGCATTTTAGTGAATATCAGTGAATATCAAGAGACCAAAGTCCCATCAAGATGCAAGAAAACGGCAACAGGACGAACTTTCTCGAGTTTTGACTGTTCGTTTCGACGTGTGTCTTTGTCAAACATCAATTTTCCAGTGTTCTTCTTCACATCAATTGCACCTTTTGACTTTGTCCGGAAACATTTGTTGAATGTAAGAGTTATGGAAAACCATCCTTGAATGTTTGAGTGCCAATAAATTGTTTTTAACATCCCAACTGGTCTCCAAATATTCTTTAAAGTCTTTCCAAGGCTCATAGATTTTTGTCTCAGCTTGGGAAGGGATGGCTCCAAAGCAAACGGATTCATGCAGCGGCCAAATCGCCTGCTCACAACTTTAATGCCAGTCGCTCACAAAGTAGGATTTTTGCTCACAAGACTCCACAGCTTAGAGGGAACATTGGTTGCCCCTGGCACTGGGGTTCAGAGGTCGACGGCCTCTGACCATGGAAGCTCCCTTTAGTCACCATGAATCGGTCTAATCCCCTTCTAAAGCTGTCTATGCCTGTGGCCGTCATTACATCCTCTGGTCAGCAGACGCCACCGTTTCAATCGCTCTCTGAGTAAAGTAGCATTTCCTGATTTGAACCTACTGCCCATCCGCTTCAATGGATGCCCTCGGATTCTACTATTTTTTGGGAGAGGAAGTTCACTGTGTCATCTCCACCCCGTGCATAATTTTATAACGCCCTGTCATATTACGTCCCTCCCCTCCTTCACTCATCTCTCTTCTGAACTAAAAAGTCCCACAACAGTGCAATTCCTTATTCCAAACCTCATCCGACACAGGCTTTATTGGCTTAGCTTCCTCCAGTTGCCCGCTGGCCCCCTGGCATTTCAGCGCTCTTAGCTGCCTGGGCTACAAAGGGGTTCTTCTTAAGGGGAGATGAGGGAACTATGACTGAAGGACACGGCTAAATGGGGCCAAAATAATGGCCCTTACCTGGGTTTGTTGTGAAACTAGCCTTAGCCGTCTCCTGTCCTCCTGACACTTTCCAAATCCTTCTGGCTTTTTATGTCTGAGGCATAGCCAGGAGCCGGAACGCAGAGCCCGAACGCTGCCTCCCCCTCTGCCTCCTTCAGCCCGATTTCCACGGCTGCCTCCTGCTGCTCAAGCAGATACATCCCAGGGCCGTGCAACAAAAGGCAGGCGGGTCAGACCCATTGTGACACCCGGGCAGTGTCTCAGCCGAGCCACCAGACAACCAGGTGGCGAAAGAGGGAGGTAAGTGCCTCCGGGGAAGGCGGGGTGCGGGTTCAAGGACTTCCCAGGCACGGCTGCTGAGGGCCAAGGTGGCAACAGAGATCTCTTCTGTGGATGTCTCCAATCTGGGGTGACGTCCCTGTCTGCAGCCTCTGGGATCTCTTGCTGATGCTGGGCGACCAATGATCATTCAGCTCCAGTTTCCCCACTGGAAACAGGACTTAGCATGGCCTACTTAACAAGGGTGTTGTGAGGACAAAAGGAATATGTTGGTTTTTTAAAATCTGCATTTCTTGTCTCTGTGCGCTTCCTGATAGCCCTTAAGCTGGGGGGGGGTCCTGGGGGGGGGCTCCAAATGGGGAATCCCTGGTGACCAGTGTTCCCTCTAAGCTGAGTTAGTGTGAGCTAGCTCACAGCTTTTTAGCCTCCTGCTCAGAGATCTTTGTCTTAACTCAGGAAGGAGGGCTCCAGAGCAAACTAATTTATGCAGCAACCTTCCACAGCCTGCAGTTCAGCATCTTAACCACTTGAGCCACCGCAGCTCCTAAACAGGACTTAGCATAGCGTTATAAAAAAAATCAGAGGTGCATTTCGTGTCGCCGCCTTTTTAAATGGTTCTTACAGGTCCGAGCAATGACAGAACTGGTGGTTTCGAGGGTGAGAGCCAAAAGACGGTTGCGAGGTCCAGGTTGGGAAATACCTGGAGATTTTCAGGACGGAGCCTAGGGAGGGCGAGGTTTGGGGAGACAGGGACTCCAACATGGCATAGCAACCAGTGGGGCATTGCCAGGTCCCCCCTGTCCACCAGCGGGGGACGGGGGGTAGGGGTGCCAGGTCCAGGTTGGGAAACTCCTGGTGATTTGGGAATGGAGCCGGTGGAGGACAGGGGCCCCTCAGTGGGGTACAGTGCCAAAGGGACCACTGGAGATGATCTGTAATTCCAGGGGATCCTCAGGTCCTACCTGGAACCTGGCATGCCTAGCAAACAGTGTCACTTGGGCTTGGGAGACCCGAGTTCGAATTCCCACTCAGCCATGCATGGCCGGGGCCAGCCCTACAGTCTCACAATCGTTTCGCTCACAGCATGGTTCCGGTGGTGAGAAGCAACCAGCCCCACCTGTCCTGCTCCCCCTTGACCTCCTGGGGGAGAAGAAAGGGGCATAGTGATTACGAGTGTTACGACTCGAATCTGGGACAATCCCGCTTTGAATCTCCGCTCGTGCCACGGAAGCTCACTGGGAGACCTCGGGCCAGTCACACCTTCTCAACCTACCCTACCTCACAGGGTTGTTGTGAGGATAAGACGGAGGAATGGAGAAGGATGTAAGCTGCTTTGGAAGAAAAGCAGGGTAGAAATGCATTCATTAAATAAATAAAGCCAACTGCGATGCCCAAGCCAGGTTCCACAGGGATAAATCCTGCCTTCCGAGACAAGAGAAAGAATTTATATGTGAAAGGCTTGAGCTGCCCCGCGCTGCTGCAGGGAAGGGCAGCCATAGAAATGTGTCCACCCCTTATTGTTTAGGCCAATCAGCCCTTGGAGGCTCCCACCACTCCCTTGCAGCTGAGACCCCGCCTCCTTGTCCCCTCCCAGCCAATCAGCTCTCTTCCTGAGTGTCTGTGCCTTTTGTGTACATGCAACAAAGTTTAATTCTGGGTACACTTAAAGGTGCCACCGGACTCAAACTTCGTTCTTCTGCAGAGACTGTGTGGTAAAAATGAAACCCCAAATCTTCATCAATCTGGTAGACTTCTCCTGGCTGCTGGCTACTCACTGTATAAGTCAGCCGAGAAAGCGGGATGCGGAGAACACCCTACTAATTACTTCTGACCATCTTTCCCCCCAAAGCTGTATTATGTGGCTAAAATGCACTGCAACCACACAGCGAATGAACGTCTTCCTGAGCACCACAAATGCATTGGTCCTGCCCTGCATTATGAATTTGCACAGAAAGAAAAAGACTTATACCCAGAATGAAACTTTGTTGGTTTTAAAGTTGTGCATGCACACAAAAGCTTATAACCAGGGCTCTTTTTGTAGAAAAAGCCCAGCAGGAACTCATTAGCATAATAGGCCACACCCAACAGCAGAAACTCATTAGCATATTAGGCCACACCCCTGACAGCACAGCTCATTAGCCCATTAGGCCACACCCCCATGTTACCAGAAGTGTGGCCATCTAGCCACACCCACATTTTGCTTCTTATTCTGTTTACCTTGTTTGTTGTCAAAACCCAGGGCCTTTTTTGTAGCAGGAACTCCTTTGCATGTTAGGCCACACACCCCTAATGTAGCCAATCCTAATGAGTGTCTGCTGTTGGGTGTGGCCTATTATGCTAATGAGTTCCTTCTGGGCGTGGCCAACTCGATAGCCAGCCGGAACTCCGTTCCTGTGCGTTCCTGCCCAAAAAATAGCCCTGCTTATACCCAGAATGAAACTGTGGGTCTTAAAGGAGCCACTGTGTTGCTTCAGACCAACACAGCCGCCCACCTAAATCTATTATCACATGCTTGTATCTCCG